GGGTGATGGGCAGTGCCATCCCCCACTGGACTGAGTGGAAGTAGGCAGGCAGGCTGGGTGGGGGCTGGCTGAAGACAGAGTGTGGTTGGGTTGGTGGGGCATTGCCCCATTTGCCCTAATGAACCAGTCTCCAATGGCTGTATCCCATCATTCGGCTGCACTTGGCTGGCCCAACATTTTGCTGCCTGTTCCATGTAAAAAAGGGGGGGCACTGAATCTCACGTCAACACAAGAAATGGGGCAGGTTCTTCAACTGCACTTGAGGGCTGTTACCATTTGCTTTGGCGCCAGTGTGCTCCCACTGCTGGTGATTGAAGCCTAGTGCACATGCCATTAGCCACAGTCCATATCTATCCTGCAGTTTCTTGAGAAACCAGTCTTCCTCCAGTTGAAAACGTAAGCCATACTCACTGTGCAGTTAAGCTGAGCAGGGCACATGTGAGACAGTCATTGCACATGTTGCAGGGGGAAGTTGCAGTCACACATAAACCAAACAGGTAATGCACATCCGATGAAGATATCCCCACCCCTCCAGTGATGTGCAAATATGACTTGAAATGCAGCTGGGAAGGTCAGACAACCTTGCTAGGGTTTAAGTCGCTAATGTGTACGTAGCCAATTTATTTTAATTTTTTTGTTTATTTGAATATTTATGAGCCACACATTCATAAAATATATGCAGGTGGCTTACAATGTAAAAGACAATAAAGTTAAAAGCAATCAATAAATATTTATACAAACATAATTTAAAACTTCAGTATCCTGGTAGGTTAGAAAGGGGGGGGATAAAAATCCTGAAATTCATATATAGGATGGGATACTTATGCCTTCAAATGCCCCAATCAAGCATAAACCAGGATAGGCAGGCAGTGGATGCAATCCTAAAGCACAAAGGAGGTTCACAGGCATGTACTTTTCTCACCTGCCATCTATCCCTCCACCACTCTTCCTTCTTCCCTCCATCACTCTCCCAGAGCTCATCCATAATGCCACTTAATGTGGCTAGGGAGTTTCCTGTACCTCCATTCATTCTCTGTGGTTCATACGATGCTCTCCTCCTTGCTACACTCCCCCCTCCCGCAATCCAGGTTTTCTTATATCAGGGGTATCCTGAAAATCTGGACTGAGGAGGTAGAAAGTGTGGGAAGGCAGCTTTTTGGAGGAGAGCATCATATGGACAATGAAGGCACGGGAAGTTTCCTATGCTCATTAAACTACACTGTGGGTGATGCCCTAGTGATGCTCTGATGCCCAAAGGGAACCTGGTTCAGGGACAGTGAAGTGTAAGAACACCAAGAGGAAGGAAGACTCCTATCCATTGCCTGTACTTTCCATCACATCTTTGTCGTTCCTGGAGGACAGCTGCATCTGGAGATACAAGTCTCCCATGACCACATGAAGATTGATCTTCAATTGTCCTTAAGAGAGTTTCTACTAGCCAAACACTGCTGGGCATGTTACAGGGCGAAATTTTAATGCAACCACCAGATGGGGCTGTTTATGTAATAAAAGCAATTTCAGAGGCAACCTCTCACCTCCTGCTGTTCTGACCCCCCCCCCCAACAAAATTCATCAACATCCTTGGTTTCCTGGTGTGCTCCCCGCCCTCCATTTTTTTGTATGTGAAGTGACCCAACTACATCTGCGCGGGGGGGGGGGTGTGCATCAGGCCAGCAAAGACTCCAGGTCACATCCTGCATAATAGAGCCTGCATTTAAGCAGCAGGAGTTGGACTTGATGACTCCTCAAGGTCCCTTCCAACAACTCTCCGGTTCTATTGAAGGAATGAAGGTGAGGACAGGTGAAGTCACCCCGACAGGTGAAGACAGGCCCGAAGTCACCCCCCCCCCAAAGCAGGCTCAAAGCTTCTCAAAGCTTTTCAAAATCATTTTCTCAGCAGCTAAGCATCAGAAACATTCCGCTCTGCTGTAACAAAGGTAGAGAACAGTCCATTGTTTCTCAGGCCTTTCTCATGCCTTCTGGCCTTGCTAAAGAACCACATTGCAACTTGCTTTCTGTCCGGGAACCATGCCAGAACAAGAGATTGAAACATATCTGAACACTCTGAAACTCCCCCCCCCTTTCCTGGGAAGGGCGCCAAGAGTCCACAATAGTCCCAAGACAGCTTTCTGTACATGCTCAGGAACCTCAACATGGGGCAGGACTCCTGAGGGAGGAGAAAGGGGTATATATGCTTGTGCACATGATTGTGAACTCGTGCATGCTTTTTGTGACTTATCACACTTGCTCCTTCTACCAGTTCATGGATGGTAGAAATAAAAGCCTTTTCTCCGAAACTATTCCTTGAGTGTCTGTTGACTCCCACTTCCCTTTCCCGGGCGCAATATTTTTCCCACCCGAGGGCAAAGCCTCATAAGGCTACATTTCTTGGTCCGTTTGGCCGGGAAAAACAGATTCCCTGAGGATAAGGGATGTGGGTTCAAGGCGTCCCTGCGGTGAACAGCTCAGTTCATGTCAGTAGTTCCAGTGCACATCCTGCCAAGTTCGTGGGAGGAATTGCCACCCGTTCCTGAGTGGACACACTGCAAGGACCGGAGAAAAAGCAACGGCCGTGCAGAAAGAAGGTACCTCGAGGGAAAAGGTAAGCTCCACAGGGATAGGTGGGAGCAAAGAGAGTTTGATCAGCTCCACCAGTAGGGCAGTAAAAGGTACCACTGGTTTTGGTTTTGCCCAAAAAAGCAGCAAAAAGGGTGCTGCTGGGCCCCGGTCGAAGTCTAAGCACTGCCGGTTGTGGTTGGTTGTTGGTTTTGTGCCCAGAAGAAGCAGTAAAAAAAAAAAAGGTGCTCTTGGGCCTCAGTCGAAGTCGTGAAGCGCTGCCGGTTGGTTGTTTGGTTTTGGTAAAAAGGGGATTGCGGGAGGTGCATGGGTTTTTCTGAATGTGTGGGGGGGGGGACACTCCAGTGAATGTTTTGAGTGTGTGAGACGTTGGAAGCAACGTGTGGTCTGTGACTGAGTGAGAGAAATGACGTTAGAAGGAGGGAGTGTCCCAGTATCCCAGTATCAAAAACCTGAAGAAAAAAATAGACTTCAACACTTATGTGAAGTTCCTGACTGTCCCCCATGGCTTAGGAAAAGTAGAACTGTGATTACCCGTGCCATGCCAAACTGTGCCCAGTATGGCAGCAAGTACAAGTTAGGGAAAAAACCCAGCAGTCTTGCCAGACCCAGGACAAGGAGGGAGGAATACTTAGCCCCCCTCCACCCTATGCAGCAACTGCACCAGGGCTAAATGAGGTTCCCCCTACCCAACCCCCACGCAAAGAGACTGAGGGAGAAAAGAAAGAGAAGAGGAAAGTGAGGAAGAAGGTGATATGGAGAATGAAGAATTCAGAATTAATTTAGAAAGTGGACAAGATAAATGCCCTCAGGGCAGCGGACAATACTGATGTTGCAATTGAGGCAGCTAAAACTCCACTTTGATGGCCCCACCCCACTGAGTGTACGACCCCCTGGAGTCATCCGACGCCCAGGACCACAGACCTCCAAGCACCTTAAATCAGAATCCTTCTTTCGAAGAGGACCCGGCCAAAATAATTAGGGGTTTGATTACCCGTGCCATGCCAAACTGTGCCCAGTATGGCAGCAAAGTACAAGTTAGGAAAAAACCCCAGCAGTCTTTCCAGACCCAGGAAAAGGAGGGAGGAATACTTAGCCCCCCTCCACCCTATGCAGCAACTGCACCAGGGCTAAATGAGGTTCCCCCTACCCAACCCCCAAAGCAAAGAGACTGAGGAAGAAAAGACAGGAGAAAAGAGAAGAGGAAGGTGGTATGGAGAATGAAGAATTCAGAATCAGGTGAAGTGGACAAGCAGACAGTCTGAAAGAGTGTTCCAGTATGTAGAACCTTTTAAAAGCAGAGCTGGCTAGAAGCAGCACAATGCAAGAATGTGAATTGACAGAAAGAAACAGAAGGGAAGGCTTAAAGAGCCCTAGGATTACAATACTGACCATTGAGGAAATCCGCAAGATAAATGGCCTCAGGGCAGCAGACAATACTGATGTTGCAATTGAGGCAGCTAAAAGTTGCAATTGAGGCAGCTAAAAAACTCCTTTGCTGGCCCCACCCCACCGAGTGTACGACCCCCTGGAGTCATCCGACGCCCAGGACCACAGACCTCCAAGCACCCTAAATCTCGTCTCTCAGCAGCTCCTGATCCTTGTGATATAATAATGCTAATATGTGCGTACCTTGCAGGGCCGTTTTAAAGAGCAATAAGATCATGTATGTGGAAGGTTGCTAGATGCTACAGTATATATAAGCATAAGCAGAAAGAGTTTAGCATGAAACTCGAGTTGCTTGGGAAGGCAGGAGAGACAGCTTTAAAGGAAGAAAACAAATGGAAACACGTTTATTCATACTGTCGTAAACTTCCCCTGGGTTTGCTGATAAAGGGTGGGCAAGACATTAAAAACAACAACACTTATCATATGTGTGTGTTAATATACTTAACATATTTAAAGCTAATATATTTATTGAATAATTATGTATTGCCTATCTATAATAAAGTATGATTATTTTCCAAAGGGGAGGGGAGACGTCCACCCTAAGCATTTTCAAGGCAAAACAAGGAAGGAGGCGCGCGTGGAAAGCGGACAGATTTAATCCTTCTCCGCAAAAGCTTTCCGCTTCTTCCGGCGCCTCTGGCACACCGGGACTCAGGAGGCGCAGCCGCAAAGCTCTTCACCTGCAGAACACCTGCCTGTTAAAAAGCAGCTGTTGCAAGCACAGGAGCCCTGACAGCGGCGCGGGAGAAAGACACGCTAGCTCTATAGTTTGCAGCTGGGGCTTCCGCGCCCCAGATCCGCCGACATTTCGGAAACTTGAGCAAGCTCGGTGCAGTTGCAACCGTGGCTGTGCGTCGGGACGCAAAGCGAGGCCCAGATCCGCCCTCTGTGATCCCCCACGGGACCCGCGGCTGGGCGGGAGCGACCTCGGAGACCCGGCTGGGCCGAGACGGAGTTGTGCGCGCAGACCCGGGTCGAGGGAGGAAGGCTTCCGGATCCGGGGGCGAATTGCATGGCCCCGGGGCGGAGAGTAGGAGTTTGCAAAGGGGGTTGGGGAGAGACTCGAGGAAAGCGCCCTGTTTGCCTGCCGGGGCTGGACGGAAGGGGCTCCCCATCCCCTCCGAGGCCGCTTTGCAAAGGCGCCGACTACATCTCCCATCACCCCTTGCTCACGGCTTTGCGTGCTGGGAATTGTAGTCCAAAAATTAAAGAAGCACATTCGCAAGGACTAACGGGTTTCCAGGGCAAGCCTTTCCAGGCTGGTTAAAAGGGCTTCCTCTCAGGTAAGTGAGAGTTTAGGCTTGCGGACTAGCAGCTTGCGTGGACTGGGACCCTCCTTTGCAGGAAGCGCGCAGCGATTCTGAACGATCAGCTCTGCTGCTCTGAAAATCACGGCTAAACACTACGGATTTCTCTTGCTTTGGCCCCGCTGATGACAACAGAAAGACCGTAGCTAGCAATGCGTGGCCACTTGTCTGTCCGCTGCTGGAGGCTGTGGACTGAAATGCAGGGAGGGACTTTTGCCTGATACTTGGAAGGGGAGGGCGGGGGCTGAACGACAGAAGCCCCGGGCGTGGTTGTTTTGACAGGCAGCGTGGCTCATGCAAAATCTCTGGCGGGGCGAATAAGGAGAGGGGAAACCCCCCCCCCCAATATGCAGGCAATTGGTGGGCTCTTAATCCCTGCAAAAATCAAAGGAATCTGAATCCGCTATGAAGGACCTCAGGTATGGCTGGGTTTCAGAGCAGATGTTCGAATCGCAATAGTCTCCTGTGGTTTGGGAGTGAGATCACTTCTGTGATCATGCCCGTGAAGCAATCTTTTTGTGTAAGGGCATCAATCCCACGAACTCTAAGGTGTTTGGTTTTTTTTGCAAAGCTGGGAGTTTCTGGATTGCAATGAGAATGATGAAACCATGGAAGGTTTGCTCTGTCTGCAAAACCAGGAACAGATCAGAACTCCTATTTTGCAACCACAAAAAAACTTATTCTGAGAATTTTTAATTCCCCTACCACCACCACTTCTGCAGTCATGAGAGCTGGAAACTTAAGATGACAATGAAGCCTTCCCCCCCCCCCCCAGGAAGTAAAGCCCATTGACTTGCTTGCAAGTAAATCTGCTTGGTCTCGCAGACCATTGGTTTACCTACCCCTGTGCTGTATACGCCGGCCTGGTTTCCCCACAACACTAAATCATGGCGTGATGCTATATGTGAATCCTGCCCAGTGGCTTAATGATGGTTTCTTTACTTCTAACAAATGGTGATCTGGAGCCATGGTTTGTTGTTGACTTAGGAACCTTGGTTTGTTTTAACTGTGGTTCAGTAATGCACGTAAACCTAGGAGCTTTCCTTAATTTGACCACCAAATGCCACCCAAAACCACAAAGGCACAAGACAAGAGCAGCTGGGAAGCAAGGCAAATTTGGGAGAAACTAGCCATGGTTTGTCTGAACATCTGCGGGACAACTCAACCATGGCCAAGTGTTTTGTGCAGACTGTTCCTCTTCCGACAGAGAGGGCCTTCTTGGTGGCTGCTCCCAGACTTTGGGACTCCCTTCATAAAGATGTTAGACCGCTTCCCTCCTTGTTGCCCTTTCACTGTCAGGTGAAGGTGGATTTATTGCAACAGACCTTTAGGAACTGACTGTTTTTAGAAAGGTCTGGTGCTGTTATGTTTTTATTGTTACCTGTATTTTTAATAGATCTATGTTTTGATAGTATTTTGATTGGCTTGATGTTTAATTACTATTAATGATTATCTTTTCTATTTTATTTGTGTATGTGCATTTTTCTCTGTAATGTGCCTTGGGTCCCTGTCTGGGGAAAAGGCAAAATAATAATAATCTTGTTACCCAAGATTGCCTTTAATTAGAGGTGTGGTGGATTGAACTTGCGACCTCCTACATTTAGTATAGGAAACCTTTGGCCCTCCAGATATTGCAGAACTATAGCTCCCATCAGCCCCAGCAAGCGTGGCAATGAAGCAATTAAGAAAACATCCTTTCACACTGATTAATTGATATCTGGTGCTGTAAACTGCTTTGATATTTTTTAATGATAAAGCGCTATACAAATATTTTTGTAAATAGAGATGGGCAGCAGCTACATGGGGTATAAAAGAGCTCTTAGGTTAGGGGTTGGGAACCTCAGGCCCAGGGACCAATTCTGCCCCTCCAGACCTCTCTGGCTGGTCCTTGGGGTTCTATCAGTGGTCCATCTCAGGGCCTTTTTGCCTGGTTGGAATGTGCCTTTGAACTTCGACAGCGCCTCTTTGCTTGCTTGGATGGATGGAAGCATGTGTATACTTTTTCACAGTTGCCTGCTGCCTGCTGTCTGAGTCACATCCGCTACACCCCGCCCACCATTGGGGTGCACCCCCACCCAGAAAAAGTTGCTCATGGTGGAATGTGGCCCTTGAGCCTAAGTTAGGTTCTCTCGCATTTCTATTAAGGTGTTGTAGCTTTCCATAATGGGCACGGGTGGCGCTGTGGTCTAAACCACAGAGCCTAGGGCCTGCCGATCAGAAGGTCGGCGGTTCAAATCCCCACAATGGTCAGTCCCAGCTCTTGCCCACCTAGCAGTTCGAAAGCACACCAGTGCAAGTAGATAAATATGTACCACTCCGGCGGGAAGGTAAATGGCATTTCCGTGCGCTGCTCTGGTTCGCCAGAAGTGGCTTAGTCATGCTGGCCACATGACCCGGAAAAACTGTCTGCGGACAAATGCCGGCTCCCTCGGCCAGTAAAGCGAGATGAGCGTGCAACTCCAGAGTCGTCTGCGACTGGGCCTAACGGTCATGGGTACCTTTACCTTTCCATCTGCTTTCAAGGTGTGAGCTACGCAAGATGCCGGTCAGCGTGAACGATGTCATGCAGCTCCTATGCCATGTGTCTGACGAGCGGAAAATGAGGGCGGCCTTCAAGCATTCGGGGCGAGGAGCGATTGTGGCTGGGGCAACTGCTTTCTTGGGAGGCTTGGTGGGCGGCCCTCCTGGCATAGCCGTCGGTAAGTGAGGCTCTCTTTTTGCAGAGGGTCTGCAGAAACTACCTTGCCTTTTTGCTTTAGAGCTAGCGATTCCCAAACTTTTTCGGACCCCGCAACCCAACTTGGCTCCATAGTGGTTTGCATGGCACTATAAAATTTAAAATGGCAACAACGAATTGCACATTTATTCCAGATCCAAACTATTTGTTTTGAACAAAATTCATGTGCTTGGTCCAGTGATACCAGCTTTTCAAAAGTCTGATAGTCTTTTACTCTTCCAGTGCTGCCCTGCACTTGCCTCTTAACTATTCCCAGGGGAGGGGATAGTACTTCCCAATTTGGGGAACAAGCGAATTGGACTGTTAATATCCTGATTTTGCTCAAAAACAGGAAACAAAAAACCAGCCCTGCAAGATGGGGTGGCAACAATAAATTCATAGCACAAGCCTAACCATGTCTACTCAAAAATAAGGCCTGCCAAGGTCAAAGGGGCTGACTCCAAGGTTAGAGTTGCAGCCTTAATAATATGCCATCAAAATGTAACAGCAACCAATATGTGAAACAAAATACCCTAAAGCCAAATTCTGGTCTTCATCCCCATCAGGAGGTTTGCACCCTGGATTCTGTGCATCTGCACATGATTTGCCACATGGGGGTGTTTGGCATTGGTGAGCGACGTGTGGCTTAAAATACATTTCTGTGCTGCTTTCCTAGGGGGCGCTGTTGGGGGCTTGCTTGGCGCCTGGATGACCTCTGGGCAGTTTCAGCCCATCCCTCAGATCATCCTGGAACTGCCTCCCACGGAGCAGCAGCGGCTGTACGACAACGCCTACGCCATCATTGGGAATTTAGACTGGACCGATACAGCGCAGCTCATAGCCCTGGTCATGGGCAATAGCGCCATCCAAGACCAGCTTCTTTGCATGCTGACGAGCTACATCACCAACGAGCTTAGAGCCGAAATCAAGTATGAAAACTAGGGTCTGATGTGAAATTGAGCGTGCTTAAGTAGACTTCTCTCCCCCCCCTTCTTTTTTGGTAACGTGGAGAATATCTTAAATCTGTTTGGATCAATGATTTTCCCATTGCAACTGGAGATTGTGACACTCTTAACTTCTGTTCTTCAAACCAATCTCAGAATAGTGTTTCTAGTGGTTTGATGAGCCTCTGCCTTTCTATATCGTTATCATCGCTCTGGCTGCTGTGGATACCTCAGTTTCAGGCCTCGTGTCGACTCGCGAGAGCACATGTGTACGCACATAGAGAATTATGTTCACTGGAAGTTGACCACTTGTGGCTACTAGGACCGGCAAGTGCCTGCGGCAGTCCTGCGGTAGCTGGTTGTGTGTATGTGTGTGTGTGTGTATGTGTGTGGCAGTGTAGTGCTTCTCTATCTGGCGTCCTAACTGAATAATGCTGACAAAGGGATCATCCTGGTTTAGATGTCTCTGGTTAAATGGAGCTCACAACAGAATTCTGTTGGCATGAATGAAGCTCACTGTTATTATGGGATAGGCCATTCACACTGCACAATGAAACACTTTGCCGTGTAAGCTGGGTGCATCAGAGACATCCCCAGAAGTCCGAATCCACGGACACACCCACACATGGGGGAAAAACTGGCAACCCTCCCATTTGTTCTATGGCACAGAGCACCTTCTTTGGTAATGCTTCTTTGGTAACTAGCTAGCCAAGGCCATTACCTTAATATAGGGGTTCGGCAAGCTTGCTCCCTTATACCTTCAACCCACATAGATACAGGATCCTAAGAACTGGAAGGGGCTCAGGGCATCATCCAGAGTGACCCCACCCCACCCTATACCCACAACAACATATATAGAGATGGACATCTCGCATTGATGCTGAAGGTGCTACTCTGCCACTATGAGTAGTAGCTATTGATACCCCTCCATTAATTTATCTAATTCTTCTTTTTTTTTTGATGGTCATTGTTACATCTCATGGAAGTGAGTTCCACAGATTAACTAGTTGCTATCTGGAGGGGGGGGAAACCCATTTTCTTTTGTCTACCCTGAATCTTCCAATGTTCATGTATGTATTTCATAAAATTTATACACCGCTTGATTGTAAAACCTCAAAGTGGTTTACAAAAATATTTTGAAAAACCAAGTAAAAATTACAACAATAGTTTAAAACATAAAGTCAAAATAGCAAAATACTAATATTCACCTCTGCTTTCTAAGCATGTGGGTAGGGGTGTCTAAATAAATAATTATTTTTTAAGCAGGCACCAAACAGAGTACAGTGAAGGCGCCTGCTTGATATCAAGAGGCAGGGAGTTCCAAAGTATAGGTGCTGCCACGCTAAATGATAAAGTTCTTGCAAATGCGGAATGGGTATTACGTGGCACCTATCGTGCCAGTTCCGCTGATTGAAGTTGACGATGGGGAACATGGGATAAGGTGATCCAGTAGGTAGGTATATGTTCAACTTTATCGGATGGTTCCCTGGTTCTAGTATATGAGAAACAGAAAAAACTTCTCGAAGAACATAAGAAGAGCCTGCTGGATCAGGCCAGTGGCCCATCTAGTCCTGCGTCCTGCTCTCACAGTTGCCAACCAGATGCCTCAAGGGGAAAACCCACAAGCAGGACCCGACCACTAGGGCCTTCTCCCCTCCTGTGGTTTCCAGCAACTGGTACCCAGATGCATTGTTGCCTCTGGCAATGGAGGCGGAGCAATCATGGCTAATAGCCATTGACAGCCCTCTCCTCCTTTCTATCAATCTTCTCCAAGGTGGAGGTCTGAAATATTGCATGGCCCCTGGTGCAATCACCCAGGAATCCTAGGACTGTGCCATTAGGGACTTTTGCTACTTTAAAAATCAATCATGTTTCCTTTTGCTGTCGGAGAAAAATAAAACTTTGAAGCCTCAAGGTGCCTTTTTTGAAGATGCAACGTACAGAGCCAATAATGTAGCATTATCTTATTTTTTTTTGTGTGTGTGTTGGAAATAAATAAATTATCATACTGAAACTCAGAGGTAGATCTTTTTTTTTTTTAAACTATTATATAGCGTGTGTTTGCATGACAGCCGATTCACCTGCCTTTGGAGACAAAAACCACACAATTAAAAGCCACGTGTGATACCGATCTGTTTGAGTTTGCCCTGGCTCGAAATTTGGGTAGAATGTGCACAGCCTCACTTTCAATTCTGATTGCATAGGAACATAGAAAGCTGACTTACTGAATCTTGTCATCATGGAGGGTGCCTTTTCCAAAGGCCCTCCTAAACCTGGAGCCAGATGCTCTGATTGAGTTCTGAGCAGACTCAGTTAGCAGTGGCATTACAGTACTTTATCCCCAGCTAATGGACAGTTGGGGTATGGGGCATGGCAGAACAGCCAGGGAGTGTCAGTCATCCTCCCATCGTTGAGTCAACAAGCACCCATCCAGTGCATAGGATTAGACTGGATTCAGGTCCACTAAAGTGCTGGAGAAAAACCTAACAAATGAGGAAAAAGAGACATTCCAGAATGAAACAGGTTTGGAGATAGCAAAAAAGGTGAAGTACTTGGGGGTGAACTTGACAGCGAAAAATGTGAACTTATTTAAGGACAATTATGATAAATGTTGGACAGAAGTTAAGAAAGATTTAGACATATGGTCAAGGCTGAAACTTTCCTTGTTAGGCAGAATTGCTGTTATTAAAATGAATGTATTGCCTAGAATGTTATTCCTGTTTCAGACATTACAAATAATAGACAAGATGGACTGTTTCAAGAGGTGGCAGAAAGACATATCGAAATTTGTTTGGCAGGGCAAAAAGCCAAGAATAAAATTTAAGACATTAACAGATGCAAAAGATAGAGGAGGTTTTGCCCTGCCGGACTTAAGACTCTACTATGAATCAGCAGCGTTTTGCTGGCTGAAAGACTGGCTGCTCCTCGAGAATACAGACATTTTGGATCTTGAAGGGTTTGATAACAGATTTGGTTGGCATGCATATATATGGTATGACAAGGTAAAAGTGCATAAAGGCTTTAAGAACCATATGGTGAGGAAAGCTCTGTATAATGTCTGGATAAGGTATAAAGATTTGCTTGAAAGCAGAACCCCTAGGTGGCTGTCACCAATGGAGGCAAATGAGGTGAAAAAATTGAATATGGGCTCTAATTGGCCTAAATATTTTGAAATGATAGAACAAGATGGTGAAAAAGTAAAATTGCAGAGTTTCGAGAATCTGAAGTTTAAGGTGAGAGATTGGCTACATTATCGACAGATAAATGAAGTATTTAAACAGGACAGAAAGAAAGGCTTCCAAGTGGAGAAGTCAAAACTAGAAATAGAACTGTTAGAACCCAATACTAAAAACTTGTCAAGAATGTACAACTTGCTGTTGAAATGGAATACTCAAGATGAAATGGTGAAATCTAGCATGATTAAATGGGCACAGGATATAGGGCATGACATTGAGCTTGCTGACTGGGAGCAGTTATGGACCACTGGTGTTAAATTTACGGCATGTAATGCCTTAAGAGAAAACATTATGAAAATGATCTACAGGTGGTACATGACTCCGGCTAAGTTAGCAAAGATCTATCATCTGCCCAATAACAAGTGTTGGAAGTGTAACGAAACGGAGGGAACCTTCTATCACCTTTGGTGGACCTGCCCGAGGATTAAGGCTTTCTGGGAAATGATCTATAATGAAATTAAAAAAGTTCTGAAGAGAACCTTTAATAAAAAGCCAGAAGCCTTCCTCCTGGGTATGGTGGGCCAAATGGTGCCAAAGAAGGAGAGGACATTTTTTATGTATGCTACAACAGCAGCAAGAATTCTTCTAGCAAAGTATTGGAAGACACAAGATCTACCCACGTTGGAAGAATGGCAGACGAAGGTGATTGATTATATGGGACTGGCAGAGATGACTGGCAGAATCCGAGACCGGGGGAAAGAGGCGGTGGATGAAGACTGGAACAAATTTAAAGTTTATCTTAAAAACTGTTGTAATTTGGAAAATTAGAAGACCAGGGTAATAAGAGATAAAGAACTACAGTTGTTTTATTATTTTATGGAAGATAAATTTATGAAATAGAAATAAGTTTAATATGAAAGGGTTGCTGGAAAATCTGGAAATATGAATGCAGAAAAGGGGTGGTATGGGGAAGTCGTTTTTGTGTTTACCTATGTTTTTACTATGTTTTCTTTTTTACTTATGGAAAATTAATAAAAACTTATTTAAAAAAAAAATAGACTGGATTCAGGTCCTTTCCTTGTCTATTTGTGGTGGCCATATTTGGCAGAGGATCAAAGGCCCAAAACAACCTGTTGAGTAAATTGTTTTTAACATCACACTCCTGGATAATGGCTCCACCAACATGCAGTCAGCACCAAGCTGCTGGTGTTTGCAGGGGCTCCTTTAAGTAAAGCTGAAATTCTGGGTTCATTTACCTGGTAGTAAGCCTCACTGAAAACACTGGAATTTCTGAGTAGGGAGTGGGGAGAAATTCAATTCAGTTTGCTTTGAAAGGTGAAGTTGCTTCATTCACACTTTTCCCAGAACAAGATGTGAACAGAAATGCAGCCATCATTTGACATTCACACTTATCCAAATTTTCCAGTGCAGTTCTCTATCCAAATACAGTGGTACCTCAGTTTAAGAATGATTTGGTTTACAAACTCTGCAAAACCGGAAATAGTGTCTTGGTTTGAGAACTTTACCTCGGTCTAAGAACAGAATCTGAACGGCGGAAGGGCACCGGCAGGAGGCCTCAAGGGAAAGCGCGCCTTAGTTTAAGAACGGTTTTGGTTTAAGAATGGACTTCCAGAATGGATTAAGTTTGTAAACTGAGGTACCACTGTAATGTGCACAAAAATACTTATGCTGGGGTAAAGTGTGCTTTACAGTTAGTGGAAATAACACCCCAATATGTGTTGTGCTAGGCAAAATTGCAAAATTGCATACTAAAATGTGTATGTTTTGGAGAAACTGACACTCAATTGCTGGTGTGTGTGTGTGTTTTGAGGGGGGCTTTATTTTTGCAAACTGTTGTGGAAATGTGGACAGCTGAATTTAAGACGGGGAAAGCAATGAACTGAGAAAACTGACATATTCTCCCATCCCTTCCTCTGAGCAAACATGCTTTAGGATTACACTGTAAGCCTTTGTAATTCTAACACATATAGCAGGTCCTGTTTTCGAAACACCCTATTTCACCAGCCTATCCATAAAATGAAATGTTTTGACGACTGATCATCTGGGGCCTGCAATTATGTGAGTGGCTGATGTGAAATCATGAGGCTGTAATGGACTGGGGAGGGGGGGAGGGAGAGAACTACCTAATTTAGGCAAAGCAGCAAAGCAGGGGCTCCCTGACCCGACAAAAAACCCCCACAAAATTCTGAAAGAATTTGGCATATGATATTTCAAAGGGGGGAAAGCATCAAAGTAGTCATTGGGAAAGATTTATTACACCTACTTACACGGCACTAGATTTTTCTGTTCTTTTTTTATTACTTATCCCACCTGTACCAGGGACCATCCTGTCAACATAGATGGAAATAATGGAAAGAAATCAGATCCTATCAAGCTTAGTAATAAATTGATGTTTTATTATTAAAGATTTATTCTTATGAGTTATACAAACTTTGTTTCTTTCCCCTTTCTAATCTATATATGCAGAAAAACAGAATACGCTGCGTAAGTTGTTTTGTTTATTGTTTTTATTATGAATTGCATATAGAGAGCGGGGAGATGCCATGATCTTTTCAGCGCTTAGGGCTTCTAAAGGCAGCTTCCGGTGTTACAGTTTTGATTAAACAAAAAACAAAACAAAACAATGGGTAAAATTAATCACACCAGAAGGATGGAGATTGGGCAGTTAAGCAAAAGGCTCCATAGGTCAGGTGAGTCTGAGGAATTATTTGATTAGGCAGGTGGGAAAGGGGTGGCACCATCAAGGTCTTCTGCAAGATAATTCCAAATTGGCAAGACAGGGCTGGTGGGATTGCTTGAGGACGGAAGAAACCTCTGGACTGTGGAACCTGGTGAAGTCTAAGGAGCAAAGGTAAGACTCTAGAGACCAGTGAAGATATTGGAAGTGGGGGAGCTAACAGCAGCATGGCTGAGGACTGAGTGGCTCCAAGTAAGGCTGAAGACTTTGTGCTGGATACAGGAACAGGCAGGAAGCCAATGCAGGGTTTGATTTGAGGAGGCGGGGTTTTCTACAAAGCTGCTCAGGCACAACCTTGATTGGGTCAGCAAAGAGGAGCACCTGTTTTTGAAAAACTGAAAGTGGGGTTTTCTACAAAGCTGCTCAGGTTCATTTCCTCATTTGCATCCTGAATTAGAAGAACCATCTCCTGAAGTGGTCCAGTTTGTGGAAATATTGTAGCCAAAGAAGTTTTCTTTAGGAGTCAGGCAATTGGGTAAGTGATATTGCAACTCTCTTAAGCTATTAATATTACTTATAGGTTTCCTAAACACATTTACTTGGAAGTGAGGACCTCTGACTTCAATGAGGGTTTCTCCCCTGTAAATGTGCTGCTGTCTTAGCTATTGACCTTAACCTCTTTAATGGGCCTTTTGTTAAAGGAAACAAGATAGGATTTGCTAGTTACTGAGACACAAAGGGGGAAGGGAGATTTGTTTGGCTTAGTTTCACCTTTTCAGATTATATTTCTTTTTGAGAGTTCTTGATTATAGCAAATAAAGACACGCCCATACCCTGACAACTAATTATCTTACTAAATTGCAAAGGTTGCAGTCTTACCTGCAGTTGGGCGTAAGCCCCCATGAGCTGTGTTGTAAGACTGTAAATTAAATGGAGGCATGGGGTGTGAGAAGCCTCGAAAATATGAGAAAATAAGGCAATATACACCTTTTTTGGCACCAGTATAAATGGGTTATTGTCTGCAATGTTGGGTTTTGTATGCCAGTCTAAACAGGGGGTGGTGTTCAGTGCTTGTCCTGCTCAGAGGAGAATCATTGAAGTTAATAGACATGCCTCACTTCATTCATGAATTTCAGTGGGCCTTCTCCAAGTAGGACTTAGTTGAGTACAATGCAAGAAGCAGATTTCTAGGTCTGTGGTTGTGAGAGAGAAAAGCATGGCAAATATGACCAAGTATATTCATCCCAAGCAATGTGGTTCAATACCAAGGGAAGAGTCATGAGACTTGTTCAGCAGCAGATACTGTGGGGTGTCTAGAAGAAAAAGACTCTTGTTTTAGAGGGCTTGCTTTGCATGCAGAAGGTCCCAGATTCAGCTCCCAGCATCTCCAAGCAGGGCTGGGAGAGGCTCCCTGCCTGAAACTGTGCAGAGCTGCTTCCATTAGGAGCTCTATTCTGCCATATACTATGTCAAGTCATTCCTAGATGCGCCAAATTGCCTGACTCTGTATATGGCAGCATCTTGTGGGCATGCTCATTGAAGTGGATCTTCCTTTCTGCTTTCAAGGTATAAGCCAGACATGTCGCCAATTGCCGTGAATGAGATGATGCAGCTTCTGGGCCGACTATCTGATATATGGGGAATGAAGGCTGCCACCAAGCAACCCAAACGAGTTGCCCTTGCGGCAGGTTTGGGGGCCCTGTTTGGGGGCTTGTTGACCGGACCAGTTGGCATTCCAGTAGGTAAGTATGTGCTTCCTTATGAACCGGAAATCTCAGCGCAAAATTGCCTTGCCTATTTAATTAAAGTGGTAGTGAATGGGTATGGAGACATACATGTTATGGTTAGCGCTGGGGAAGGGCCGTGGCTCAGTGGTAGAGCATCTGCCTTGCAGGCAGAAGGTTCTTGGTTCAATCCCTGGAAACTCCAGTTAGGGCTGCCCGAAGCCCTGGAGAGCTGCTGCCAATCAATGTAGAAGATGATACTGAGCAAGATGGACTCATGGTTTGACTTAGTATAAGGCAGTTTCCTGTGTTCCTGTCCAGGAAGGAGTCTTAACTCCTTTCATGGACAATCACCCAGAATTAATGGCAGTCAAAGACCTGGTCATCACAGTGAGCCCAAACGATTATCTACTCCAAGTGCTGCTTGGTTTCTCCCTGGTCCTTTTAGCTTGGCAGCTAAGCCCTGCTCAGTGTGTTGTCCTAACCCAGGATCATGGTTCATCTCTCTCTTCCTTACCCACAATCTGTAGCTGCCCGTGGTTCAGAAGGAGAGTGTGCCACCATGATTCTGGGTTTGGACAACATGCTACGCTAGGGCCAGGGAACCTTTGGTGCAATGTCTTGTCCTTCTGAGGCTCTACAGAGCGAGAGCTGTAGCTCAGTGGTTGACAGACAGAGAGGCAGAGACGTCCCATGTGCAATATCTAACTTTGGTGGTTGAAGTCTGTTGGGACTGGTAGAGCAGAATGCAAGGCAATCAACAGCAGGTGGAGACAATGAAATGTAGAGCCATAGCAGGACTGGTTGAAAGAAAGGTGGATATTTGCTGGTGGGGCAGTGCCCCATTCTCCCTAACGGGCCAGCCTCCACTGATCCCCTTCTGTTAATAGCCTAATGGATTGGCTACAGTAGAGTCCTAATCATGTAGACCACTTAGAGAATCTTTTCTTCTTCTAATTAAGCAGTATATATAAATCTTTCTAATTTCTTTTTTTTAATGAGGGGTTAACTCTTAAGAGTCAAGTTTGGGGTATATAGACCCTCAAGGAGATCAGTGTTAAATATGCTAATGTCTCCTTCACTTTTAAGGAACAAACTTTGCAAATGGATGGACTGCTGAGGACCAGATAGCTGTTATTCCTGAATTGCAGGGGGTTGGAATAGATGACCCCCTGGGTCCCTTCCAACTCTGCAATTCTATGCTTCTATGACCTGGGCCAGTGGGATGTGTAGGTCCCTGCTGGAATTGGGGCAGCCTAAGAGTGAGGGACGCGGGTTAAACCAAAGAGCTTAGGACTTGCCGATCAGAAGGTTGGCAGTTTGAATCCCCACGATGGGGTGAGCTCCTGTTGTTTGGTCCCTGCTCCTGCCAACCTAGCAGTTCAAAAGCACAAAGTGCAAGTAGATAAATAGGTACTGCTCCAGTGGGAAGGTAAACGGCGTTTCCGTGCACTGCTCTGGTTTGCCAGAAGCTGCTTAGTGATGCTGGCCACATGACCCGGAAGCTGTACGCCGGCTCCCTCGGCCAATAAAGCGAGATGAGCGCCGCAACCCCAGAGTCGGTCACGACTGGACCGAATGGTCAGGGGTCCCTTTACCTTTTAAGAGTGAGGATCATGGGGAGGGGAGAGATGCTCCTTCAACCTGCTCTCTTGCCCCACTTCCTTCTCTGTCACCACTTGCCTCTCTACAGCTGTCAGATCCTCTCTTTGACACTTGCACAATGCCTGTTGCGCCCCCAGCCCCAGTGCCATTGGACACTGGGAGGGGCTGGCCTCTCCAGAGAGGGGTGTTCAGTTGGTGTAGCCCACTTTTGAGGGGGGCAGAGACACCTCCCTCATCACCTAGATCCAGAAGGCACCAAAAGAGGAAAGAATAGATCAGGCATAGGCAAACTCCGGCCCTCCAAATGTTTGGGACTACAATTCCCATCATCCCTAGCTAACAGGACCAGTGGTCAGGGATGATGGGAATTGTAGTCTCAAAACATCTGGAAGGCCAGAGTTTGCCTATGCCTGGAATAGATGAATCCACCTAAGTGAGAGATTCCAGAAACGCTTGCTACACTAAGCTGAGCCTGCCTCATTCCTATATATAGGATAGCAAGGGTGTGTGTCAGTATCAGAGCAACATTCAAAGCTTTGGGAGGCAGATCACCTGCCCTTGTTGTAGATGCATGCAGAATTAATTATGTGTATTGCCCTGTATTAGGTTAAGCTAGCAATTTGCATGTATATTGTGGTGATCTAAACATTAAATCCTATTGGAAGGCTCCTCCTTCAAGTCCTTGTTCCTCAGCAACTGGGAACCAGGACAGAATCCTTGTATGAAATGAAACATTCCAAGGCAGGGTCCTCTGGGCTCTGATCTTCACCTATACCAGAAGACAAAGGGGTGTGTGTTGTGTGTACCTGTGCATGTGCATGTGCAGCTGGGGCAACCCAGCCAGATGGGCGGAATATTTATTATTATTATTATTATTATTATTATTATTATTATTATTATTATTATTATTGCATAGATGTACCAGAACTCTTGAATCTGCAAAAGATTTTCTGGATTGGGCTGCAAAGCTTTCAAAGCAGGATGGCTTACAAAACAATACTTTTCTCTGTGTGGCTTTTCTAGGGGGTACAGTTGGTGGCTTGGTCGGCTCCCAGATGACAGCTGGACAATTTAAGCCTGCCCGTCAGATTATTCGGGAAATGCCTCCTGCGAAGCAGCAGCAACTGTACAAGATAGCCTTTCGAGTCATCCAGGACATGGAGTGGCCGAACGTGGTGCAGCTCATGAACCTGATCATGGAGGACGTAGCCTTACAAGAGCAACTGATTGGGGTGGTGATGGACTATCTCGCCAATGAACTCAAAGCCGAAATCAAGTTCGACAAAACAAAACCTTGACGAAACCAATCTGTGTGCATTCAGAAGCGGATGCCAGATGAAGATACCACCAGCCTCACTGGGGATGTGTGGTGCAGGTCCTAGGCTAAGCAGACACCAAACATTTAAAGCATTTGACTTTCCCCAAAATAATCCTGGGAACTGTAGCTTTTAAAAGGTTGCTGGGGAATTATAGCTCTGCGAGGAGTAAACTACAGTTCCTAGGATTATTTTGGGAGAAAGCGGTGTCCTTTAAATGTATGGCGCACGCATAGCTCTAGATCCATTGGTGCGGGGTGCCTTTTGTCTCCCATTTTTATCCTTATATGCTTGTTTTCTTCCATTTCCCCACTAATCTTGATTAGAAAAAGAAAAGTTCAGAGTTGGAACGTGCCTTTTTGAAACAGAGTGCCAAGAACATAGAAAAAACAAAGTTTCTGTTTCCACCCCTCCTTAGCAGCTGAATTCAAATAAATCTGCCCCTTGTGAGCTTTGGTGTGATTGCGTTTTAAAAACTGTTTACAAGTCTCCTGTGTAGGGATGAGGGGGAAAATCGAGTTTGTTTTCATTTTAATAGAATTCGCATTTTAATTTGTGTTCCAGAACTAATATGTGAGCTGTCCTTCGAAATTTGCTTCTCAAAATTTTGTGATGAAGTTCTCTAGCCAGCCAGCCAATGTATGCAAAAATGCATATATAAGTCAAAATTGCATAGCAAAATATTTATTAGGGGAAATCCACACTAAAATGCTTGCAAATGCAGGCAAGGCACATTGGACAGGCTCCTGTGATGTAAATATGGGTCTGGTTGTAGACTGGGGGAGTGACTGTAGCTCCATTGTTTGATTGCTCTCATCTCCAGGTACAAGGGTCCTGTTATCTAGGCTATGAAACACTTCGGAAAGCTGCTTTCAACCAGAGCAGAGAACCCTTCAGGAGATGAGCTATGGTCATTTGTCTCTGAACCAAAGTAGACATGGTGATAAAAGTGTCGGCATCATTGTTATTATTTTTAAATCTGCATGCTGCGTGCAAATTGCAGTCACTGGGTTGTGGGGTGGGAATGAAGCCAACAATTGCTGCTGGTGGTGCAGAGGAGGGATTTTAACCCTTTTCTTCCCTGCTGTGGTCATGATAAGAATGGCTCCTGTGAAGCTGTTGTTTGCATGGGAGCAAAGCTCCCTTTGGCATCACACATATGCCAGACAGAAGTAGTGGACAGAGTGCAGGGCTAGGTTTTGGGAGAAACCAGGGTCTGAATTCCCCACTTGGCCATGAAACTCACGACATCGGGATGAGGATTTGGAGGTGAAGTCGAATGCTTCATGGACCAAGGTGGCTTTGAGGAAGAATTTAATAAAGCAGTGGTTGGAGGATTTCAAGGAGAGACTTCTAGGAAGTAGTTGAGGAGAGAGGAAACCATTGAACTGAGGAGTGGGGTGAAGCTAGAGGAGCAAAGGCGAGACTTATGAAGATGTTAAGGCAGAGAGATAGGAGAGCCCCCCCCCCCTTTCCCATTAACTTATGTATAAGGTGGTATGACTTTACTGACTCAATTTCTGAAGTCCAATATGGGCTAAAGGGAAAGCAGAGCCTTCCAGGATTTAGTGCAGGCATTTCACATATGCAAGAGTGATGTAGTGGAATAGAGTGCTGGGCTAGGACCTGGCAGAGACCAGGGTTCAAATCACTCAGCCATGAAGTTCACTGGGTGACCTTGGACCAGTCACTGCCGTTCTTCACCTAATCTTACCTCACGGGGCAGGGGGGCGGGTTGTGTGGATTAAATGGGGAGGGGGAGAACCATGTACACCACTCTGAGCTCCTTGGTGAGACCTTTTTGTACGTCCAAGGAAGACACCTTGCATCAACTCCAAAGCTTCCTCCATGATGGAGCTGATGGCACAGCGTTTCTGAGCACATCTGCCCAGGTCTCAGTTACACATGTCAGGTTGTCCCTCTCACTGACAATCAAATCATGAGGGCACTAGCTGAAACACGTGCAGAGGACAGCGATCAAGATGCTCAAGGGTCTGGCAACCAAGCCTTATGAGGAATGGTTGAGAGAGTTGGGGATGTTTAGCATGGATTTAGAGGAGACCGATAGAAGATGTGATAGCCATCTTCAAATATCTAAAGGACTGTCACATGGAAGATGGAGTGAGCTTGTTTTCTCTTGCTCCGGAGGCTAGGACCCAAACCAATGGATTCAAATGACAAGAAAAAAGATTCCCATGAAATGTTAGGAATAACTTTCTAACAGTAAGAGTTGTTCGACAGACTACCTAGGAAGTTGGTAGACTCTCCTTCACTGGCGCTTGGATGGTCCTCTGTCAGGAATGCTTTAGCTGTGATTTCTGCAATGAAGGGAGTTGGACTAGACAATGATTGAGGCCCCTTCCAACTTTCTAATTTTATGATAGATGTTTTATTCTGGACAGACAAGGGATTTGCTTGGTCAACATTCACCGATTCTGATATATGGTGGGCAAACAGAGGAAGCCAGTGCTTTGATGTAACTAGCTCTCCTCCTCCCCAATGGATACCTTCACCCACCTCCAGACCTCCCACCCCCTGCCATTGCTTGCATGGAAGGTCCTTTCCCCTCCTTCATCCCTGGTCCAGACACCTTCTTCTCTTAACCCGTGTCTACTCACAGGGTTAGAAGTGAGGAAATGCAGATTCAACTATCCCAGCTAGAAACCACCCCACAACCTTTCTCCATCTTCTAAGTGACATCCCTTTAGATATTTGAAGATGCAATCTTATCACCTCTCAGCCTCCTCCTCTCCACGCTAAGCATACGCAACTCAACAGTTCCTCATAAGGCTTGGCTTCCAGGCCCTTTATCATCTTGCTCCACCTTCTCAGCACACATTCCAGCTTGCCAATATCCTTCTTAACTTGTGCCCAGAAAAGGACACAGGAGTCCAGGATTAGGAGGATAAGCAAAAGGTACCTTGGACCAGGTGGGTTTCAAGAAGAATTTGACAGCACTTAGGTATTCTGGGAGAGAATTCCAGGCATTATTTGAAAAGGGGAGAACCTTTGTACTCTAGGGTGTGGTGAAACTGAAGGAGCAAAGGTGACTCTTATTTGGACATTCAGGCTGAGAGATAACAGACTTGGCTACTGAGAGCCTTGAAGTTAAAACTGACAAGATTGTGTGAGACACAGGAGCGGATAGGCAGCCAATTTATTAAAGGAGGCGTGTCTGAGGCTTGATTGGGTTAGCAATAAACTGTGAGCAGTGGGTTTTTGTTAAACTGAAAGTCAGGTTTTATTCAAAGTTGCTTACTTTCATTTATTAATTTGCCTGCTTCCTGAACCGGAAGAACTATCTCTTGAAGAGGTCCATTTTGCTGTCTTATTCTATCTGAAGAGGTTCCTCTAGGAGAGAAGCTGTTGCGTGAGTGATATTGTAAAATCTTAAACTATTTTTAATTGAGTTTCCTTTATTAACATGTTTGTTCAGAAGTAAGGCCCACTGACATCAATGAGACTTACTCCCTTGTATGCATGCACCGCTGCCCTAGTTTTCTGCCTGACTCCTTTACTGGGCATTCTGCTAAATGAAACAAGGTAGGATTTGTTATTCATTGAGCTATGAAAAAGGAGAGGAGTAGGGTGTTTTTTTAAAAAATTAGTTGCAATGCAATATTTCACTTTTCACATTATATTCCTTTTTCAAGTTTCTGTGGATGGCATTCAGTGCTAATTCTACTCAGAGCAGAGCCTTTGAAGTTAATATGCATGATTAACTTATGCACGGTAATTTCAGTGGGTCAACTCGAGAGTAGTGCTAACACCGAATACCACCCATAGGGTTTGTATTACACCTTATTCTATTACTAAATCATGAAGGTTGCAGTTCTGCTTGCAATGAACTAAAAAATAAAAACAATGTTTATTTTCTGCCAGACCTTTGTTTTTAATTGTCTGTGGCCCCTTCAGTGGGTGGGATGCCTTGGTCTTGCTGTTTACATTTTTTTAAAAAAGAATACATTTTTTGCCTTTTGTTTTTATTCTGTTTTAATTTCATATTTGTTTTAATGTATGATTACAAGTGACTCTGACTTATGTTTTTAAAAAACCCCCACTATTAATAGGTTCAAATAATAACAAAACAATAATAAATGAGGTTATTAAGCACACACAGAAATGTATTGTAAGATAACAAGAAATTAAATGGAAGTATGGGGGTGCCAGAAGGCCTAAAATATGGGTCATAAAACAAGACCAAAGAGAGCCAGTGTGGTGTAGTGGTTAAGAGCGGTAGACTCGTAATCTGGTGAACCGGGTTCGGTCTCCGCTCCTCCACATGCAGCTGCAGGGTGACCTTGGGCTAGTCACACTTCTTTGAAGTCTCTCAGCCCCACTCACCTCACAGAGTGTTTGTTGTGGGGGAGGAAGGGAAAAGAGAATGTTAGCCGCTTTGAGACTCCTTCGGGTAGTGATAAAGCGGGATGTCAAATTCAAACTCCTCCTCCTCTTCTTCTTCTTTGCAGCTGTGGAAGAAGATTGTTGATTGCAACCTTGTACAGTGGAACCTTGGTTTTCGAGCATCCCAGAAGCCAAACGTTTTGGTTTTCGAATGCCGAAAACCCAGAGGTAATTGCTTCCATTTTCGAATGCACCATGGAAGTCGAATGGCTTCTGAGGCGCATTTCTCAATTTTCTCCATTGAAATTGCCGACCGCCCATTGCGCCTTGGTTGTCAAACGTTTCGTAAGTCGAACGGTCTTCCAGAATGGATTACGTTCGACAACCGAGGTTCCACTGTATCTTCTTGCATTCCAATCAAAACAGGGAGTAGATCTTTGGTCTCTGGCTGCATACGAGAAAAGAACAGCAACTAAGACCCAAAAAGGTTTGCCCAAAGCATTGCAGTTCAAAACCAACAAATGAATCATGAGGCTTGTCAAGCTTAAGATATTGTGGGAAGCTGGGAGGGGAAGCGGCTCAGTGGTAGAACATTTGCCTTGCAAGGAGAAGGTCCCACATTCAATTTCCTGCACCTCCAGGTGTGGAAGAGAAAACTGTCAGAACCGTGGGAAGGAAAGCCAGCTGGCTTGGCCCCAGCCGAAGAGTCTCCCTTCTCAGCCTTGCCGCTGAGAAATCCCACATATCTACAGCAAAGGGTGGAATGGAATTCCCAACAAAAACTCCCTGCCTGTAATCCAGAAG